ACAGCTGCAACATTATGGAATTCCCCTATGGGGCCTGAGTGTGTGTTCCATATGTGCTTGATCCAGTGATCCGGGGTAATAATGTTCAGCGCATAGAGAAGTTTGATATGCGCTATATAAGTATACAATAATAATAATAATAATAATAAAGGTCTTGTAAAAAAAATGATTACATTTTTGTGACGATCCGTAGTATGGTGTGGATCTGAGGATGTATTACCATTGCAGCCATAGTTCAAGTCTCACTAATAACGTCGGAGTGAACACTTGGTTTTCTTTTTTGGGGTTTTTTTCCACTTCATTTTATCCATTTCATTAAAACTATATAAGTTTTCCGTGCTTTTTTTTTTTTTTTTTTTTTTACGTTTTACATTTTAACGACTTTTCTTTTGTTGCAATTTCAACTTCATTTCTCATTAAACAGACATAGTAAGTCTAGTATTATTATTATTATTATTATTATTATTATTATTATTATTGTTGTTGTTGTTGTTGTGTTTGTTGTTATAAGCAACATGTTTATACTAATGCACACATTTTTTCACCGTTAGGTCACTGGCTCTGTTGTTAGCATAGTTAATAACTTGTTTAGTGTTGACGATGAAATCCTCATGAAGAGTCAAATGGAAGATAAAGCCCCTACAAAGATTATTGAAGCTCTTGAACAACAACTTACCCAGGTGGACCTGGGTGACAGTGGCATGTATAACGTAACCACTACCAATCTTGCAGTACAGGCTCAGAATATTGATGTTGATAGTTTTAGTCAAGAGAACAATACCTATTTTAGTTTTATATCAGAATCAAGTGAGATTGGTGTAGGTAGCATCGACCTAATCGAAGATAGTGAGACCATACCCAATGCCGCCACTGTTTCAATTGCTCTGCCAGTCAGTATATCTGACGTCATCAGAGACAAAAATATGAAAGGTAATATTTTTGGTTGTTGTTTTTTTTTTTAATGTTTTTTATTGCTTCATTAAACAGCAATTACATAAATAATTGCGGGATGAAACTTCTCTGTTGTTGTTAAGCGCTTCGAGGTTGTGTCAACGTGAGGCGCTATATAAATCCAGAATTATTATTATTATATGATGTTGGTGAACGACTTTGACAACGGTATTCTTAAAAAAAAACCAACCCTTTAGTCTTAGTTAAAAAAAAAAAAAACGCCCTGCGGAGGTATTATTTTAGTCGAGGTTCGCGTCATTTAGTCGTAGTGCTAGTCGAAGTTCATTTTAAGAATACGAAATGACGTAATTTTTAGGTTTTAGCTCGAACTACGACTAAAAATTTGTTTTAAGAATACCGGGGTCAATCACCGCAGGCCGATTTTTTTAGTCAGCCTAGGGTCAGGCTAAATCGCCGACTTGAAATATTTACCACACTAAAAACATGTTTTGTAACATGATAAATTGAAGCGAATAAAAATGATTGTATAGGCAGGTTTGATATATCTTCGGTGTGCTAAACAAGAGAGACATCAAGTTTAGCTTCCAAAATAAAAAAATAACATGTTTTGCTAGCCACATGCAATAGTTCCTGATTTGCACGAAATCCCCTCACGTTGATCCCTCGCGTTAATCACATAATGATGTTCATTAGAACTGGTTTGGGGTGATTAACGCGAGGGGAAATCCCCTCGCGTTGATCACTTAAGCTTAGGAGAGGAATTGTTTAAAGTTGTTGGACTGTTATTCTAGTGGCTGTGTTCAGTATTAAAAACATGACCTCTATGATTAGAATGTTATGCTGTATTCATTAGAACTTGTGAAAACTGATTTCACAACTTGTAACATGCGAGTACACAAGAAGAATGCATCCATTTGACGAACGCTAAATGGCTGCTGTCACTTTTGCAATGTGTTCAAAAATAAAACACACAAACAATTTTTTTTAATCTGAAATAATATTACTTAAACAAATTTCAATAATTATGTTGGGTTGCAAATAAAACATACAAACAAAACTCTTTTTTTATCTGAAATAATATTACTTAATAAACAAATTGCAATAAATACCTATGCTCGTTGTGCATAGTTTATGTTACATCTGCCATTTTCCACACTAGTGCAAATCGAGGAAGAGAATTCTACTCGAGCTCACAACTTGTGTTTACAAGTTCACCAACGAGATGAACGCGTTTCACACAGGTTGTGAACTGGGAAACACCGACCTCACAAGTTCTAATGAACGCACCATTATTATATCATCAAGTTAAAGCCTCACTTATTGGGTTGGTTCCCATATAATTGCTTCGGGACTGCTACACTATACCAACGATTGCACTGAAAAATATAGCTGCAGTGTAGCGCATTTTAGAAAAGCAGGCTTTACGAAAGCTTTATTTACTCAAAACGCAAAACTTTAAGGGGCAATGGGCCAACACAATAATCTTGGCTTCAAGTATAACTATTATGTTTTAAGTGTAATTAATAATATAATATAGTAATATGTTAGATTTATTTCATCGCTTAACGCCAACAAGGCCTCTAAGCGCTTCACATTACTACCCCCGGTCATTGGATTAAACGCCTATGGAACACAAACTCCCTGGGGGAGTATTCCATCAGGTTGCAGCAGTTACATCAGCGCATGTTGGCATTTAACCCTACCAGGTACCAATTTATACTCCAGGGTGGAGAGGAGCAATGCAGATAAAGTACCTTGTCCAGAGACACAAGTGAAATGCACATCGAGGGGAAACACCGACCTCGAGGTTGGGAATCCAAACCGTTCCCACTGTGCCAAAGCACTTCTAATTAACATTATTATGTGATTAATTATTACAGCATTCCTTCCTATTTAGTTTTACTAGAAAACTACATTCAACAGAGTATTTCTAATTATTTCTAATAATAATAATTGGTTGGAAGAAGAAATTTGTAGGCAAGTACATGCCACAACAAATTAAAACCTATTTTACATACAGCATTTTTCATTCTTCTTTTAGATTTCCGTGTTGTAGTGATTGTCTACAATGACAGTACATTATTTCAATCATCTCAGTTCGATCCCTCTAGCCGCAGACCAAATAGTCAAGTTATTTCTCTCTCCGTACCTGATTTAGGCCTAGATCACTTTGAATTGAATGAGTCCATCGTTACGACGTTCATTCCCCTAGAAGTAGGTTTTTGTACATAAAATTTGCTTGTATATTAATAAATAAACTTATTAAAAATAATATTACTAAAACAGAAAAACGACAATAAATGTAACAAAGTTGGTAACAACATTAACAACTACGACGGCGGCGGCGACGACGATGACGATGGTGATGATAACGATGATGACGATGACGACGAAGAAGGCGATGATGTTGGTGGTGGCGGCGCATCTACTTGAATTTTTTTGGTTGATCGTATACTAATCTTTATTAAAATTAAAATAATCCTCTTATTTTAACTATGCAATTTAATACACGGTAATGCATGTTTATGTTTATCACAATTTAATTTCTATATTTTTTATCATAATCAACAATTTGTATGGCGTTCTTTGAATTTCAAATATTTAATGTGTAGGCATATATCTGTCTCTTATACACATCTAGATGTGTATAAGAGACAGGTGTCAACGTGAGGCGCTATATAAATCCAGAATTATTTATGAATTTTTATTATATGCATTTTATTTTTTGAGCTTCATTTGTTTATTTATTTAATTTCATCAGACCAACAGCGAATCATGCCACTAAAAGGTTGGTAAAATATAATATATAATTGAATGTAGGCCTATATAAAATATACAGACGAAATGGTACATAAACAAGTCTCATGATCCATTATCATAAAACGAAATATAGACAAACTATTGTAAAATATATATCAATATTAATAGTTAAAATAAGAGAATTATATTGTATGAAAAGTATAAAATAAATCTAAAACAAAACTACGTTTTAAATACAGACATCTACTAAAAGGGGGCATTGAAGGTGGGGCAGTAACGAAGGCTTCTAAAATTAACATGAAAAATCAAACAGATGTATAAAATCACAGCTAACATACGCTTTAACATATTTATACAGAAATACCATATCGTGAATTAAAAATATATTCCTAGGCACATTAATTTACAAGGACGATTAAAACATTTTTCAAAAAACCTCATGATAAAATTAATCCTATCGTTGCGAATTATCTGAGATTCGGAAGCAAAACTAAAAATAACACAGCAATTTTCAAAATTAGAAGTAAATTAATAACGATAGGCTGTAATTGCACCAGGGCTATTTATTTTTTACAATGTCGCCAAATGAACCCAAGCGTTATGTTTCCCTTACGAATAACATGATCATTTACACAACGTAAGCTTACGGTCAATACAAACACCCTAATGACGATGAACAGAAAACTTTTTTCTCAATATCTCCAATCTTATAAGAAAAAACATAAAGGTTTTAATTTAAGAGGGACAGACATTTATATGCAATTGGAGGGATTGAGAGAAAGACCCAAGTGCCGACTCCATGCAACAACAGCATCATGATCTTCCTGAAGACCCCTGGCATCACTCTCAGTCCCGACAATACGATACAGCTTCAGATCATCAGCGTACATAAGGCAATGTGAGAGTATAATAATGGTATTTATTCAATCAAAATTCATAAAACATAAAACATGGCAGCCAAAAGGCTGAATTACGAATTACGTTAACATCTAAATTCTGAACGAACAAAAATACACAATCATGACAATAAAAGAATATATAACATTATTTTGATGATTACATTAAAATAGCTAAATAATTTAATTTAAAAATTATTGAAAAAATGAAATTATTATTATTATTATTAATTATTATTACATTGAAAACATTAAATTGATGAACGTCTGTCTTTTATCTTTGTGATAATTCTTTATAATTCAAGACTACAGCTTGACATAAAAAGAATATATAACATTATTTTGATGATTACATTAAAATAGCTAAATAATTTAAGTTAAAAATTATTGAAAATATTAAATTATTATTATTATTATTAATTATTATTACATTGAAAACATTAAATTGATGAACGTCTGTCTTTTATCTTTGTGATAATTCTTTATAATTCAAGACTACAGCTGTAATTCATATAAAAACCCTGGTCCTAAAAAGTGGTCCTGAAGTATAGAGAGACTTGTGATTTTAAAATGCAATGGAAAATAATCGTTTAAATTACTGTTATGTAAATTACTTACTATTATAATAAATTGTTATAATTTTTATATTATATTATACTAGGCTTATTATATACTTTTATTATATACAATACCTTCAAACCTACAATAGATTAGTGTGAAACTAATGTAGGCCTAACATTAATGGATTTGAAAATTATATATGCATTCAAACATCTAAGCATTTTATAGGTTACGACCTACATCGTAGACTGTGCCTAAACACATTTATAAACTAGTACAGTGTTTTTTTATACAAAATATTCGTGTTTATTTTATGTTTTTTTAAATGTCAAACTTTTCTTGCTGCTTTTTCATATTATGTGTAAAATTATTCGGATAATATTTGTGAATATAATTTTTTCACGTTTTTATATTTATTAGGAAATTGCGGAAGAATGACCCAATGAAACTTCTATGTCAGCTGTGTTTGTCATTGCTTGGATTGTACGTTGTATTTCTTGTTAATGTTGGAACCGAGGGAGATAAAAACAGTCGGGCATGTTTTGCTGTTGGAGCAATTTTGCATTACTTTTTGCTTTCCTCAATCTTTTGGATGAGTGCTCAGGCTTTTAATATGTACTACTTGTTTGTGAAAATATTTGATCCTCATGTATCACACTTGCTTCTAAAAGCCTGCTTGTTTGCATGGGGTAAGTTTTTTTTAATTATTCATTTCCACAATTGCAAGAAAAACGCATGAAAATGTACACAATACAAGCAATTACGAAAATGAACATAACGACAGACTAAATAATAAAGTGAATTTGTTATGCAACCGTTCTTATCATTTATTGCTCATGGATCATTTTTCAATGCCTTTGTTCATTTTTGTGTTGTATCCAAAAATATCAACAAAAAGATGAAATTTTCTGGCTATTAAAAATATGATATATTTTAGCATATATATGAGTAATTTTTAAATAAATTGTAATTTTTAGAATTAATATTCATTTTGGTTTCTTTACCAAATTACTTTTATTGTTAACTGACCGTCCTGTAAAAAAGGGGCATCTATCTTTTTAAGTTGTTACTTACACGAGAAATAAATACTTATATCATCATCAAGTACATGTATTTATTTTCTTAAGGTTTCCCAGCAGTAATTGTCTTAGTTTCTGCGCTGATTGATGTTCATAGCTATATCGATGAGACTAAGTAAGTTATCTTCTACATGAGTTTGTTGAATTCCAATAGAAACAGTTTATTCCTTTAATTAAAAAAAAACTAATTGTGAACAATGGTGTTTCTCAGTATTTTTAATATCCTAGGAAATAGGAACAAGATGCCCTTCAAAGAAAAGTTCAGTCAGTTGTATGAAAAAATGTGCCCCGGGGTTAGATCTGCAGGTATACCCTAGGTCTATTGGGTATGGTACTCGCCTTGATAGCGAGAAATTGTAGGTTTGAATCTTGCCAGACACGTTTTTGATACAATCGTATAAAGGAACTTTAGGTAGAAGGGCTATGCTTGATACGATTTTAACATTTTGTTCCCATTCGAGCACTGTTATTGTTATTTATCCATTTGTTTATATTGTGTTGACGGTATTACGCAGCAAACCAAATATGAATACTATGTATATATA